TCAAAAACCTTCACACACGAAAAAAAACCTTTGAATCAAACAAAGAAATACGTCTAAAATATGACGTTAGTAGATTTCCATCCAATATTCCCATATAATGACAGGAATCCTACTAAACAACACACATACGCATGTACAGTCATTGGCGCATACACAAACGTCAACTCATCTATGACGTTTGTGTATGCGCCAATGACTGTATGTGCGTATATGTGTTGTTTGGTAGGATTCCTGTCAATACATAGGAATATTGGAAGGAAACCTACTAACGGAATATATTAGACGTATTTCTTTATACAATTCGAAGGTTTTTTTCGTGTGTGTTTATTTCATCAAAGAAACCAAAAACGCATACAAATGTAAATGTATTAAAAAAATTTAAAAACACACAATCAAGAAAATTTACGTATAAAAATGAATGAAAAATATGCACGCACAAGAAAAAAAATAGATGAAAAATTTAGAATGAAGAAAAAAAGCATACGTGAGAAAAAATATTAAACTATTGGTTTGTTTAAAACGAGTCTACCATTGATTATTTTAGCCCCCTCCATTTGACATGGTGTTGAACATTTCCAACACCCACCACAATCTGAATCATGTTTACAACCAGCAAACTGAAACGGTATTTCGGTAATGTTATGTGTAGTAAAGCACCAATCGCTCGAATCTTCTCGTGGACCGCAATTACTCCAATAAACACCTGAGATGCAGCCCGAATTAAATTCATTGCAGTCATTTGCTCTACGGCTAATTCTCTCTTCTTTCGCTCGTTCAAAGTGATCTCGTGCCATTTCCGCAGCAACACCACCAGCCGCTGCTGAAATGCTGAAAACTATAGCCCATCCAAGCTGTTTCCCTAGCCAACCAATAATAGCTGATGCAGCTCCTGCTGTAAGAGCGAGTTGTCTTTTCTTTCTCATAACTAATCGTTTATTTTTATTGTTGTTAAATTTATTGAAATCTGGCACAGATCGATGACTTAATGATTTGGTAATATTTGTCGGAGTTTCCAATGTAGTATTAGTCAATGTAGTATTATCAATGTTGATCTGATCGTATGGTTTTAAAAAACGCGATATCTGGTTTTCACCGAATACACTTTCACAAAAATCGGCAAGCGTTTTACGTAATGTAACAATTGTAAATCCTATGGCGACAGGTAAAGCTTTTGATTTTACTGTCATTGATTCCATCATACGATGCAATTTAAGAATGCTATTCAGTTCACTTTGATAAATATGGATTGCATCCAACAAAAACTCTTCAATATTGGTACGCTCCACTTTATTTACTATATTAAATGTGAGCAACCACCTTTTGAATGCGCTTTCACACAATTGCGATTCCACGCGGTCGTTGACGTTTTCCATTTTTTCTTTTTCAAGTTTTGTTTTGTTAGGGCTCTGATTGTAGTAGTGGTTTGCACTGCATACTCTGATGATATCCACAGCCTTCCTAACGTTGGTTGTGTAGGAAAGCCGATATCGACCGCTCGTTGCAAAATAGATACGATTATTTTTCAATTTCGACTGCAGAAACGCACGATAAATTCTCGTTCCACAGCAGCACTTCTCATAAATCAATATTTCATCAGGAGAAAATTCCGGATTCTTCTTCGCATTCCCAGTATTTGTCAATCCGGATTTTTGTTCGTCCTGAATTCGACGCTCGCTGAACTAAACCTCGATGAACTAGGCAATAGTTATCGAGGCTATTGGAAGAAAAACTGTAATTTGCGTGATAAACGCTGTTTAGTTTTTCGGACGAGTTATTCATTATTCCCAAACTCGACTTCTACATTGTACGTTGTGCATCTGAACATTATTGTAATGGGTGTTGGTGGATAATTCTCTTTTATTCCTTTGAAATTATTTATCGTAATCAAATATGATGAGTGCTGCATCACGATACCAAAGCAGTAGATGTAACTTGTCGGTTTCATCCATACCGGTTTTTTGAGGTCAATGACCTGTATGGATAAAAGTGCGAAAAAACATCTGCTCCAATTAAATGCAGAATATTAATTAGCAAAATAATGACCGAAAGCAACAAGTGTAATTATAAATGCATGTGCATGACACAATTATATGTGAAATAATGCGGAAATATGTTCAGAATGAGAGAATGAAAAACAGCTGCTAATGCAATTTACGAACACTGGACTGTATTTCTACATGAAAAAATTATAAATGAGTGGATTTTATTTATTGAATATCGAAGTTTGGTATATTAACATCAACATTGGAGAACATTTACTTAACAAACTTGTTCGCAAAACCGCTCAATGGTTCACACACTCACATTCTACAGATTCGTTTTGTTTAATGAGATGAAAAAATCACTTGAAAAAGCATTCTATTCTTATTCGTATTCAATGAACAAAATTGCAATGTATTGTTGATTCGAAGGAAATTTTTCGTTGTAATAGAAAAAAAGTAGACATTGCGTTTTCGATTTTTTTTTCGTAGTCAGTACAAATTGAAAATTTGATTCGGGCACATGGGAACGAATAAATCAAAACTGAGTGTCGAAATGAAGTTAAGAAGCGGTACCGAGTACAATTTGGAGGTACCGAGTACAATTTGGAGGTGGGTGCACCGACGCAAGAAGGGCAGAACAGCAACAGTAATCTTACGATCGCTCGCGATCGAAGAGCAGAATCCAATCATCACACGGATCAAAGCGAGAGAAGTGTTGCATGTGAACAAAGGAATCAACAGCAATCAATCCGTCGACGAACAAACGAATTTACTGTTCTACCGATAGATTCAATGGAAGAAAACGAACAAGTTCGAAGCACATTTCTTCAACGAGTAATCACAAGGTCTATACATAGACTCGTGCAAATCATCCGTTTGCTATCTACCATTCTAGGTATGATAAGCGGTGTAAATGTTTTGATGGAGTATTTCATGCTGCCACAAGTGCAGGTACACGAGATTACCATCAATGTTGTTTCGCGTCATAGCTGGCTTTACACCTTCATCTTCGGAGAAGACGAACATTATCAAAGCTCAATGTTAGAAATTCCGATTCATCGTTGGTGATAATAGATGTCGTCCAAAAATTTACAAATGTAATAGAAACAAATAAAGAATATAAAAAAAAAACCGGAAAAATTTGGTTTTTTTCCATTTCATTTGTATTTTTCAAATTCCAGGTACTTCGATGAAGTACCTAATAATTTTTCTGTTTTATTTCCGTTCTGATTTTTATGGAATAATTGTATTTTCGATACAGTCTGAGTCCTTGCATGTTGTCGAGGTGGTTGCGATTGTTGTGTTCTCTGTCGTGGTGCTATCTATCGAGGTGGTTGCGATTGTTGTGTTCTCTGTCGTGGTGCTATCGCTTGATGTTCTTGTGGTTCCTTCGGTTGTCGTGTTCTCTGTCGTGGTGCTATGTATCGAGGTGGTTGCGATTGTCGTGTTCTCTGTTGTGGTGCTATCTATCGAGGTGCTTGTGGTTCCTTCGGTAGTTAGAGTCTTCTCTGTTGTTATCGATATGCTTGGAGTTGAACTTATGAAATTTGTTACCATAAACACACAGCCAACAAACAAAACAACAACGACTACCACAGCTATGATGACCACCATTACCTTTTTCCAGAGATGCCATCGTTGTCTCAATTCTTCAAATGTAATATGGATTTCGCACAATGAATTTTCCATTTCTGACTTTTGTTATGAATTTGATTTGAAAATGATTTTTTTACGAGTCTTTGCATACTGAGTTGAAATTGAATTGGAAAAAAAAGTCTTACATAAAAGAATATAAAAGTTGAACTTTTCCATACATATGTATGGTGAAAAAACCTTTTCCTCGTCATTGGATTGTATTGCGGAGATACTACATTGTAGAGATACTACAATAATTCTCTCTCTCTCTCTCTCTCTCTCTCTCTCTCTATCTATATCTCTCGCACTGCAAAAAAAAAATGAGAGAGAATGAAAATGAAAGCAACGACTGTATCGACGACAGCAACAGCATCGACGCACATATGAATGAAAGAACGAAAAAAACAACAACAACAACCTATAATCAACGCACATGCTTGGTCCATGTATTTCTTATGGGAGACGTGTCTGCTTGCGAAAGAATGGAGAGAGAATGAGAAAAGTATGTATGGGAAAAGTATGGTATCTGCGATCATATTGCTCTATTCCCGCCGAAAATGTATTGAAATGTGAAAAAGGTATATTTAGGTTAGCACCAAGGTAAAAACCTAAACAAACGAAGGTTTTATTTTTATTTGTTGACGCATGCAAAAAATTAAAATTTCAAAAATTCACAACTCTTCATGACGTTTTCATTTGGCAATTGATTCAGTTTAATGATTCTTACCCGATTTTCATGAAATTTCAGAAATATGCAGCCAATGCATTGGGATGCAAAGTTAAATAAAAATTAGATAGAAAAAGAGATTATTTATGATCACAAAAGACATATAAATTTTTTTTTCCCGCTTATGTTGAAAAAAAAAAAAAAAACATGTGACACTGAAAACAAAAGAAAAAAAGTCTCTTTTCTTGAAATAACTTACAACTTTTGTTTTTTATTCTTTATTACTAACACATTTGCATTACACGCTTTTTCACTTTAAATTAATCATGCGTTACCCAACTTTTTTTCCATTCGTGAAATGCGAAGAAATATACGCTCGCGATATTATACAGCATGTAGTCGTTTAATGTCGGGTATTGATCGTCAATACGTAACTCCAGCGACCAGTTGTTCACACAATGGATGATATCCTCCCATGCCATCCAATGATTCTTTCGAAACTTTTGCTCCAAAACTTGAACCATCAATATGCCTAACATCATCCCTGTGTTCGAATGGATTGAATTCACCATGGCGTCATATTCTACGTAATGATTGGTTGGGTTAAATGATTGATATCGTTGACCAAGCTCCTCCATGTGTCTTATTATTTGCAACTCAAACAATTTCATGTTTCAGACTGGTTTACACTGTTCACTGTTTAAAAATCAGTTTTGTTCTAAATTTTAAAAAACACAAATCTGAATAAGAATGACCAGATAAGCAATGGTTTCAGTTTTGTTCTCCCAACTTATCATAATAGGCCACTACTTAGTGTTGAGCAATGCATGGCTTATGCTATGCTTATAAATGACAGATGTTTGTTGATAAGTTTATTGACCAATTCGAGAAAGAAGGCGAAAATTAATGTACGATAATGAATAATTATTATGTCCTCAATATGTTTCCAATTTTTTAATTATAAATTTCATTTAATTGCCAATTTGAGTGTTTTGTTGACGCGAAATGTTATCGATGATTTCTTTATAATATAAATTCACTGCAGCTGTGAAAATTTGATAAAGAAAAAAATGATAAATCCAACCGATTTGCTTCTGAGATTTCATTTCTATTTTAGTTTAAAAGTTTACGTCGAAAAGCAATAGTGTTAAAAACAAAAATGAAAATTTCAATTGCCTCTCTTGTTATTTTTTTTACTGTTTTGTGTTTGAACGTTATGGCGTTAAATCCAGAACGATCAATAACCATTAATATAGAACTGGAAGAGATGCAAAGATTAGCTGAAGTATTGGTTGAAAGTTATTTAGCAAATAACTTGAGACAAGATATTTCTCGTCGCTTTCTAATATTATCGACTTTGAAAAAAATCTCTTCGAGTTCTGTTCAATACGTTGCACTCATGATATCTTTAGTGGGTGCTAACCTTTTAACTAAAATGTTTGAGCAAAAAGTGAATTTCGAACCATATATAATAATAAGTGAAAATAAAACAAGTCCTCTCAATAGTGAAAAATGTGGTCATGATTTCGGTTGTGATTACAATGTTTGTTGGAGAACATGCAGTGAAAAGGGCAATCAACCAGAAATGGACACATGGTGCTATACATCTCCAACGCCAGAGAAGCGCAAATATAAAGAATGCATGGGCCCGACAGATTGCTCACCATGCTGGGATTGCATTGACATGTGTCACAAATAAAAAGATATAGGTTTGAAAATTAAAAAAGATTTATTTTTTTTTCATTTTTTTTTAAATTCATTTTCTTTTGCGCTTAGTTTAATGCATGGTAGAGGGGAGGAATCATTGTCCAGCAAATGGGAGAGGTGTCATCAGCAATGAATAGTCCAGATCATCGAATTCTGGTGAATAAAAGCATACAAAAAAAATTTAGTATATATTATGATGATATCATCGCCCTCAGTAATTTTTAATATCCATGCCCTCGAAATAGAATAAATGATATAAAAATAAATGAATAATAATATACCCATTTGCAAAGAATAAAATGAACAAATGTATTTCTCGGTTGAAATTCTTTTTAATACGAATGTTCATTAAATATTTATATAGAAAAAACAAAAAAAATACTTACCCTCCTTCTTTCTGCTTTCCACCGAAGTAAAGATAGATGTGGTGACCCTTTTGAATTAATGAGTTTAGTTCTTCCAAATTTTCCTCATTAATTTTCCGCCAGAAATATTGGGGTAGAAAAACAATCTGGTCCACAAGCTCAACCAGAATGGATTTATGTGTACCTTCAGTCTTCTTTCCATACTTATTTTTCACGCTTCTTAAGGCTTGAATCTCATGATGCCCTTGATTAAGTTTAGCAAAACCCAGATATGGTTTGCTTGGTTCTTGAATTTTTTTTAATGCTTCCATGTTGATTACTCACTGTTTGAAAACAAACTGATGATTTGAATTTCAAAAACGCACTACTTATATATTACATATCCATGATTTGACGATGAATGTACATCAGTCTTGTATACATCATATTCTTCGACATTGTGTAAGTATTTATACAACCAACCATGTTCGGATTTGAGATTCACAGTGATTTCATGCACTTCAATGTATGGTTGCAAAAAAAAATCAAACAGCACATTGACTCCACCAATTATTCCCAAAATTGTAGGCAACAAACGAATGGCATGCAACAACCCAAAAGCAGTTTGTCTGATTATGTTACGCACGTGTCCGATTTTTTGAGGTTCATGTACTCCATGCGATGGTGCCAATCGGTTTTCATCGATTTGAGTTCGCACTACCTCCCTTCTAAACTGATGTTTAGTCGGCATCACTGCACCACTGGTTCCAGGCTCATTTTCAAATGATTGCTCACCTTCACCATGCTCATCTTCAAATGGTTGCTCACTTTCGATTTGATATATTTTTCCATTTCGTAACTTCATAGCGAAAATCAGTTTTGATTTGCTTGATCCCATGTATTCGCAATAAGTTTTCAAATTACAATGACTACTTAAAATTGAAAACAAAAAAAGCAAAGGCAACTTTTTTCTTAGAAATTTTTCATTTGCAATTCGAATAACATTTTTTTCTTTGCTGTCTTTTCTGTTTATCACATTGTCTGTCAACTCATGTAAACGGGTGGTGTTACTTCAATACAGATGCATGCGTCTGCTTGAAACATTACCTTCCGCAATAATTAATTATTATCGTTTTTTTTGCATTCTTCTCTCAATATTATTATATTCATTTAATTGGAGCAGATGTTTTTTCCCACTTTTATCCATACCGGTCATTGCAAATGGACACATAATTGCGGTTTCGCTAATTAATATTCTGCATTTAATTGGAGCAGATGTTTTTTCCCACTGTTATTCATACCGGTCATTGACCTCAAAAAACCGGTATGGATGAAAGTGGGTCGTTACATCTACTAACGTTTCTTAACTCACGCACTTCTCCGAATCATTTACGAGTACATTACAAATTTTTTTAC